GGAGGAGGAGGCCCTTTTGGCAGGTGGAGGGCATTGAGAGGAGACCTCATGAGTGCCTGCAGAGGGCAGCAGAGGCTCCCTCCAGCCCACCTCGGCCCAGCTCCATCAGGGCCTGGCCTTGACTGCTCACTGTCTCCTATTAGGAAGTCCAGAGGAGAGAGGCCTCTTGGCATGGAATCAAATCCACGAGCAGTCTGAGGAGACTACGAAGGCATCAGAGGTCTACAGCCTCCCCTGTGGGATTGGCACAAAGTTCTGCACTTCCTCCTATACTCAGTACCTCCCCTTCTGGCCCAAAGTGGAACATCGTGGGACAGGTGAGGTTGGAGCATGCCAGCTTACCCTCTACTCCCACGATTCCTCAGGAGAGTGTCTGAAAGATGCCACAGAAACCAGGATGTAAGGAGAACTCTCTGCATTGCGGGTGGGAACGTAAATTGGTACAACCACAATGGAAAGCAGTATGGAGGTTCCTCAAAAATTTAAAAATAGAACTACCGTATGATCCAGCAATTCTACTTCTGGGTATTTATTTGAAGAAAATGAAAACACTAATTCGAAAAGATATATACATCCCCATGTTCACTGCAGCATTATTTACAATAGCCAAGATTTGGAAACAACCTAGGTGTCCACCGATGGATGAATGGATAAAGACTATGTGGTATATATATATATACACACACACAATGGAATATTATTCTGCCATAGAAAAGAATGAAATCTTGCAATTTGCGACAACATGAATGGACCTCGAGGGCATTATGCTAAGTGAAATAAGTTAGACAGCTCTGCCCTGGAGCAGCAGGGGGATTGGCCACAACCTCCAAATTCCCTGCTGAGCCACAGAGGAGATCTCTGTGGAATTGGTTAGGGCACTTTTGGCTGGAAATGAGAAAAGTAACTCAAAAATGCGAGATGGGATTTATTGATTCTTGCAACTGGGAAGGAAGGACACTAGGAGAGCTCACAAAAACACAGGAGGAATTGTATGAACAAAGGATAATACTGGTAGATAGTATAAAATCCAAAAGGTCCAGGAGACCATACGTGAAAAGCAAGTCTTTCTGCCACCTCTGCCTACCCCACCCTGTATAAAAGCTACAAGGGAGCGGTTAGTTTTACTTTTTTCCCCCAGATTCCTTTTTACAGCATTTCTTGACTCTGCTAAGTCCTACACAGCTGCCTCTGGGAAGCTGTCCCCACCCCCCCCAGGCAACTCTACACATTCATGCTGTGACCACCCAACGACCAAGCTCACCACAGCACAACCTGGCCCCAAATCGAGACCACACTGCTCCATCTACAGTGGGATGAGTCAATTCTGCTACGAGAAGGAGAAAGGATGTGGATACTCCCCTTTTATAAGAATAGCCAACGCCCATTGAACTCATTTACACCTCACAAAGATCCTCTCCAACTGGTTACTATGATTATCCCTATCTTACAGATGACAAAACTGGGCAGAGAGAGGCCCAAGGTCAGAGCTAGTAAAAGCGATGGTCAGGATTTTAACCCAGCCCATCACGCTATCCTGGTGTGCTCTGCAATCTCAGATGCCAAAGGCAGAGGGACAGAAATTCCTGATCTTGATCCTGATCACCTATCTTCCCGTTGTTGCTAATGCTGGACACAGTGTTCTCGTCGTAGCTGAACTCCACGGAGTAGACCTCCCCGCAGTGGGCCTTACAGTTCATAGTGCACTCATGCTGCTGCATATCTGAGGCAACAGATGCCTCTGAGATTCCCGCCTGGGCCCCGGGGAGGCAACAGCCCAGGACAGGAGGCACCCCTCGCCCTCTACCCAGTGGGTGGGAGCTGTTCTGGAGGCAGAGGGCCTCCAGGACCCAACAGGTGTCACAGAGCTGACGCTTGCCGAAGAGGCCAGGCTGCCTCTGAGCCCCACAAGCAGCTTCTTTCGCTGGGTCAAAAGTAAGGTTCTGGAATCCCTGGGCAGAGCCCGTTTGTCTAGGAGGACACACAAGTCCTTCCTACGAGGCCTCTGTAACTTCCCACCAGGGCGCCCTGGGGATCTGTTAAAGATACAGTCCCTAGTCCCATCCCTGACCCTCTGACTCCGGGTCTCCTGGGACAGCGGTGGCATGAGCATCTTTAAACAGCGTGCCAGATGATTCCCATGCACACTGTTCTAACGCTTGTATGGGGAGAAAGAACTAGCCGCACTGAGAGGACAGGACAGCATCAGCTCATGTGTCCTCTTGGATCTCACTCAGGCCTGAGGACTCAGATGCAATAGCTCAAGACTGAAGGACTGCTAAGCTCCACCCTCCCGCGTCCACTCACACTGACCACGTGCAAGGTGATTACAGAGGGTGCTCTTGAAACACCAGACCCTGACAAAGTTAAGCTCTATTGTGAGCATCTTGAATCGGGTTTGCAACAGCCTCTAGTCTAGCTGGCAAAAATTCAACTCTCTTCTCTGAGACATTTAAGGAGGGGACCAGGATTGCCATGAGCACACTTGCTTACCAAACAGCTGGATGACGCCGTCATCCGACCCTGTGGCCAGCAAGTTCCCCTGGTGACTGAAGGCCATGCAGTTGATAGCAATGGGCTCTGCATCCAGGGAGAACTGGAGCTAGTAAGAAAAATAAAAATAAAAAATAAATGTAAAAATGTAATGGAATAATAAACCAAAATTCAAGACAGTTCTCTCTGGTAGGGGGAAGAGACCAAGCCTAGGGAGGGGCACACAGGAGCATAAAAAGTATTGGTAATGTTTCATTTTTAAACTGTGGTGTATATAGGTACTTATTTTACTACTTTTATTCTCATTATACCATATATCTACAATTTCAATATTCTTATATATGTATTCAGTATTTAATTTGAAATTTTAAAATAACAAGTGAACATAAAATTAGAAATTATGGTAAGTGCCTTGAGGAAAACAGCAAGATTAAGAAGGAACTAACCAAACTGGGTTGTAAATAGGAAAGCTTCTAAGAGATGCTGGAGCACAGATGTCTGCCAGACAGGGTGGGGTAAGAAGCCTCTGGAAAGGGGGCAGCACACAGGAAGGGCCTGCGGCTGCAGGATGAGAAGGGCAGGAAGCACCAGGAGGCCAGAGCGTGGGGAGGGGCAGCGTGCAGGGCCTTGAGGGACAGGGGATGGGAAACCTGGAAGAGCAGGAAGGAGCGTGACGTGCTGCAGTGTCTGCCTGTCCCCTAGGTGGTGGTGGGGAGACGGGGGGTGGGTGCCACAGCAGGAGGTCCTGCAGCTGTCCGGCTGAGGGGCACTAGACAGTGGGTCTAGGGTGTGTCCCTGGAAGTGCAGAGAAGTGGTCAGACTGGGAAGACATTTGGGAGGTGGAACTGACAACGTTTGCTCATAGATTGGTGGTGTTGGGTGAGGGAGAAGGATGGGCCCGGAAACGCACTGTTTCTCAGTGGGATGCAGGAAGACTAGAGGAGAACAGGTGTGGCGAGGCATGTTGGTCAAGAATTCGGGTGTGGCCCTCATAGGCCTGAGACACCTGTGAGACTTCCCATTGGGAACTTACACCATCTCTGCCAGCAGATGCAGTAAGGTGCAAACTGAACACTTGGAACACAGCCCACCTATGAGACAGGGACCCTTCAAGTGTCCAGCAACATCAGGAAACGATCTGTTCAACATAAGGGCCACACCACTTTTGAGCACCAACACTAATTTTAACAAGAAACATCACTGCATTTTAAAGAGGTGAGTTCAGACATCAATGAATCTCTTTAGGGGTTAGGGTCACAGCTGCAGGCATCTCCTGTTCTGGATGGGAACGGGTCCTCAGCTCCTGAGGAAGGTGGGCCACACGGCCCCGTAAGCTGGGCTGTCACTTCTTAAGAATATGCATGTGTCCTCACTACTCCAAGTGCTACTGTCATTTTTATGCAATTCTAAGTTAACAGGGAGTCAGAAGGAGACTCCAGTCGTCTCCCCAAAATAACCACTGGAATCACAATATTAAGTGAAAGAAGCCAATCTGAAAAGGCTGTATGATTCCAACTATATGATATTCTGGAAAAAGCAAAACTACGGAGACAGTATAAGACCACAGTTACCAGGGGTTGTGGGGTGAGGGAGATGAATAGGTGGAGCAGAGGATTTTTAGGGCAGTGAAAATCCCCTGTATGATACTATAAGGGGGCATACATGTCATTACACATTTGTCCAAACCCACACAATGTTCAACACCAAGAATGAACCCTAATGTAAACTACGGACTTTGGGTGATTATGATGAGTAAGTGTAGACGCATCAATTGTAATGAATGTACCACACTCTGGTGGGGTGTTGATAGCACGGGAGGCCGTGTGTGGGAAGGGGCAGGGGTTATATGGGAAATCTCTGTACCTTCCTCTCAGTCTTGCTGTGAACCTAAAACTGCTCAAAAATAAAGTCTTTACATATAAACAAAAATTAAATTAAAAAATGTTTTAAATAAACCACAAGGGCCCTCTCATAGGCTCTGTGTGACTTCTCAGTTTGTGGCACAATTCTGAATGACGTAAGCTGCTAGCAATCTGCCCAGCTGGAGTATTACTCCTTTTCAACACTTGAACTTTGAAATTTCCTCACAAATCAAAACCTGAGAAGACCAAAGCAAAGAGAGCGAAGAGACTCTCAGAAATCGAGTCCTGGGAGGGTGACCCGCAGGGGCAGGGCCCGCACCTGCTGCTTCATGGTTTTCGTGTTCCACGGCAGCAGCTTGCCAGGAACCTGGTTAGTGCTCTTGCTGCCGATGTCTGGTGCCGAGAAGTCCACCTGAGAAGCGAGGCTCGAAGCTGCAGCTGAACAGACAAAAGAGGCCCTGCTGGCTGGGGCTGCAGGCGAGAGACAGGATTCTGCAACAGACGTGGGGCAGGGTCAGCACTCCGCCGGTGCAGAGGAAGGATGAGCTTCGGCTCTGAGGCTGGGGCCCGCCACAGGAGGTGGGGCAGAAGGCTCAGCAAAGGACCAGGCCCCGCAGAGCACAGTGAGTGGGGGGAGCGGCCTCCAGCTCACGTGGGCATATCGTCGTTGACAGTGATTTCACAGAGATTCTTCTTGGCTTCCATGTCATAAAGGTGCACTGTCCCCACACCACTGCCCAGCAAGAGCCGGAATGAGAAGGGGCGGGAGGTGCGAAGAACAGCATGGGGTCCGGCCCAGTCAGGGAGGACCACATGGGGCCAGGCCTGCTCCTGGGAGGTACGGGTCTGGGCAGGCTGCAGGGGTGAGGCCCCTCCACTTCTCCAGGTAGTTCAGTGAAATCTGGCTAAAAACCTCATTTCACATTTAAATAAAGACATCAGAGCTGACCTTGAACACAAGCACAATCACAAAATGATCTGTGGATGGCAGAGAGGTATCACCTCAGGTACAAGGCAGTGGGAATGTTCTGGCTGATTAAATGAGACCCTCGGATCTTCCCTTCCTTTCTTTCAGTTTTAAAGCCCAGCTGTTCCAGCCCTTCCTTCTTGCTCCTGACCTCCCCACCACCACCTCCCTAGGTACTGGTCCCGGTGCTCACCACACCTGGGTCACTGGCCCATGTTGGGGTTCTGGGGACAGCTCCAGCTCTGGGCCTATGAAGGCCTCCAGAAGAAATAGAAGCAGCTATCCTTGCCTTCAAGAATTTGTGATTTATTTGGTGAAAAGCTTCAAAGATAATAACGACTGCTGCCAGAAGAAAGCACCAGAAGCAGGTCTGAGGGTGTCCCCCAGGAATGTTCCCTATATCAGGACCTCAGCATTCACTTGGCAAATTACAGTGGTACAGGGTAAGCCCCAAGATCCTAGTACCATAAGGATAATTCCTGCAGCTGTCAAAAATTATAAAGAAACAAGGTTTGCCCCTTGGTCTGCCTGGTATGATCCCCTCAAAATGGAATATAATGAAAGAAAAAACTATAAATCAACTTTACCTCCTTAACTACAAATCCTATCACAAATATTAAAGTCCAGAAGGAAGACAAACACTGTACTAACACAACTGCATTAGACCCGGGAACCATGAACTAGGACACCACCCCCACCAGCTGCTTCCCTGGGGGCCTGGCACAGAGAGAGGTCTTAGCAGCCGGAGGGAGAAGCTGAGAATGTTCGCAGTTGGTTGTTAGATACGTGGACAGGTGAGAGGAGCTCACGGGGGAGAACAGGAAGTAAGCCAGTCCCTCCCCAGGCAGATGGAGAAGCGGGCCAGATCACCACAGGTGGGAAGAAGGCCTCCGCCGTCTGACGGCAGAGCGTTATCCAGGTCCCACGCAGTCTAATCACAATTCTTGTGAATCCAGTAACCTCCCTACCACCCCCCAACAGATGCCCACTGGGACAGTCTTGGATGTGTGGTCCCCAAGATCCCAGTGAGAGAGAGAAGGGAGGGGGTCTGGTTTAGCTGCCTCAACTTGGCCTGTGGTGGCAGAGCCGGGTGGAGAGCCCTGGGGAATTCGTCACTTAGACTGCAGAGCGAGCAACAAGGCAAGACGTTACTCACCAGCCTGTCCCACTTGGTGGCCCACTCCAGAGAGAGCAGCGGCAACTTGGAAACAGATGACGCTTTGGTCTGCATGATGGGGCTGAAGGACCACACTTTGATGACCCCGTCTAAATCTAAGCTGGTGACCCTCCACCCCGAGCAGTCCACTCTAAGGCCAAAGAAAGAGGGAAGCTGTTAGCATCCTTGCCTTAGTCAGCCGTCCTCCTCAGCTAACGCCCACCAGGTGATGGATGTACTGATTTTCCTACTGTCTTAAAAAATAATCCCCAAATGCCTATACTCCAAGGGTGGGCATGGACGATTTCTAGAAATATTTATTCATCCAAAAACTATCTATGAAGCACCCATTGTGTGCTGAGCCTGGTGGTAAACCCTGGGGACAGAACAGCAGGCAACCTGACCCCGCGCTCAGCCATTGCAGGCTCTGGAGACGGAGAGCCTCCTGCATCACAGCTCTGGAGCCCATCAGGGCTGTCAAAGCAAGGAACCCACTGACCCTCTGAACATGACACCCCGGGAGGGCTTGTTCGTGAAAGGTATGTTTTTACCATGTAAAACACTTACCTAAAAGTACCCACATAAAGCAAATTAAAATTGAGTAAGTCAGAGGGTTAAAATAAAAGGTAACTTGTTCCTCAAACTCAGACTCCCACAGTTAGGAAGGATAGAGGGGTTGACCAAGCCAACAATAGGTCTGAGCAGGAGCCCCCGATGACAGCTGCCCAGTCCTCCTCTGACTGTTCAGGGGTGAGCACGGTCCTTCAGGGACCATTCCACCATCTGTACCTCCATTCGTCCCCCATCCTCCTGCCGGCCACATCTCACAAGCATAGCCCGAAAAGACCAGCCCCCACCCTGGTCAGCGTTTCCCTGGTGGGCCTCACCCCTGGCCCAAACCCACCTGCAGTGCATGATGGAGGAGTGGTGCTCTCCATACTCCTCCTGCCCCAGCACGATGAACAGCTGCTCGGGGCGGACCCCTCCGCCCTCAGGGCCTGCTGTGGAAGGCCAAGTCAGTGTCTCCAGGGCCTCCATGTGGAGCTCTGGGCAGGGCTCTCCCTCTGGGCCACTAGCTTCAGGCTTCTTCTCGACACACTGTGCAAAGCAAAGTGGGGACAAGTCAGCTGTGACGGTCTGCGCTGGACCCAGCCATTCGCCACACCTGGGGCACACTGGGGGACATATAGAACACCAGGCTGCAGCACTGTGAGGGGGCTCGCGGTGGTCTCAGAGTCTAGAGGAGAGAGCTCCAAACGGCGAGAGCAGCGCCCAGCTCACCCCAGGAGAGGTGGTGCCTGCTTCACTGACGGCCCTTTTCTAGAGACCCTGCTCCTCACACAGGCCCTGCTGAGGAAGGAGTGGGCCACGGGCGCCCCTCCCTGTCAGAGCTGAGGGGACTCAGGATATACACCATCTTGAGAGGCCAGGCCAATGATGACAGAAGTTGGTTAGTGAGTGCCTACTGTGAGCCAGACACTGTGTGAATACCACTGATTCTCTCACTTAATCCTCCCCCAAACCATGTGGATCCTATCATTAATGCCATTTTACAGCTGTGGAAACTAGGACTGAAAGCAGCAGCAGTTAAGTAACTTGCCCAAGGCCAAGAGCTGGCCAGGGGCAGGACTTGGATGTGAAGCCAGGTCAGTCAGAGGTAAGCTGGCCCCTCAGCAGTACACCACCACGCCAGCCAGCACCTCCTCCTAGGAGGGGGTCACTGAGACACTGAGGCCACTGGCCAGGCATAAAGACAGAGACCCATGGACAGCAGCAGAGCCAGAGCAAGGCCAGAGGCCAGAGGGCACCCCACATGCCCTGGCACCCGGGGTCTGCAGCGGCCCTGGTCTCTACTCCTGGTGCACTAAGTGGTGGCCACCATGATTACCACCCGCTCACCCAGACATAACCCAGGCCAGGGCATCAGCTGGCATCACCACCACCCCCGGAGCTCCTGATGCTCCTCTAAGCACTCCCCAGGGTCACAGGAAGAGCAGTTCTACAGCAAAATAATAACAGAGAAGAGAGACTGGAGCTCAGAAAAGTGCCCTATGGGAGTGGCTGAGCTCAGGAGTGTCTTTAATCCTACAGCGCCGGACAGGAGGATTTGAGATCGGAGTCATAAGCGTCTATTACCATCAACCTGGAACCCTAGAGGGCTGGGAATCGGCAGAAATGCCTTTAAAATAGGCATTCATCTCCTGATAAATGGACAACAAGGTGACTTAGACAAGAGACTTAGGCAGTAAATCCCTCGAGCTTTTGTCTTCAATCTAGAGTATTTGAAGGAAAAGGAGGCAGCTCACACTGCCAGGAAGAGCAGACCCCGACCCAAACTCACAGTGAGGGGAATCTCAGGGTCAGAGTGGCAAGGGCCTGGGCCACAGCACAACACTGTGTGGGCATGTGGCCCTCAGGAGGAAAGGCTCCTGTGATCAGGCAAGTCTGGGGGATTCGGGGTTCAACCAAGGGGAACAGGTCTCTCTGTGGACTCTGAGAGCCTGCGACACGCTACCATTAATACGCACAGTTAACTTCGGGGAAGGATGCAGCACGCAAGGGGTCTCAAATCAATTCAATCACAGAACTCATAGTGTGGGACCATTTTCAGTTGGCATCTTACGGCCCCTACTTAGGGAAATGCCACATCGGGAAAAGGGAACACGAAAGAGCCAGGCACAATATCAGCAAAACAACCAAAGCACAAGCAATTAAACCCAGTTAGGCAAAACCACGCTCTACACAGCAGCATAATCAAGAGAGGTAAGAGCGGGCCCTGCACCCCCACAATTCCCACGGCCATCCACGGTAGCCGTGTGCTGTCCCTGCCGCGGGGGGAGAGGACAAGCTGTACATGCCAAGTCATAGAGAGAAGCTCCTTCCTCTCCTTGCCGTGATCCTACAGGCGCCGCTGCCGGTGCTGTGACCAGCTGGACTCCCCGGTGGCCAGCCCGCTGAAGAGACTCTTCCCATACTTGAACCCACAGGCTGGGTCTGCTCCCTTAGCCTTCTAGAGCGGGAGACACCAGGCTGTAAGTCTCTTCTCGTTTGTGCCCCGGCCATGACACCCAGGCCAGGAGGGGAGCAGTATCTCTACACAACAGCTCCCGGGTAGGGGTCCTCCCTGGCCGTGCTGAGCAGGGCGTTAAAATGTTACCATCTCAGCTGGTGGGCAAGGTCAAGAGTGACACATGGGCAACTCTAGACCTCCTCCTCTCCGTGCTCTAGTCCCCATCATGAGAGGACAGGTCACCAGCACCCCTCAGCCTGCCACAGCTGTCACCTGGAGGTAGATATACATCTATCTCCTTCATTTGATCGGAACAGTGAACTTGAGTTAAGGGAAAGGAGACCAGCACTTACTAAGCCATGAGTATGAGGCAGGTCAGGCCCTATGCTTGGTGTTATAACATTTACATCAACTATATGTTTGGGCAATAAAAAAAATATTTATGCAACATACAATCTGGAGGGAAAAAGGAACACAATACCCTCTCCTGTTTTGGGCCAAGGGTGCGACTAAGAGAATAAACTCAACCACAGTCCGCTTGTTCCTTTCTAGTTCTTTAACTTGTTACTTCTTATGTTAAGAATAAACAACTTAAAATGATTAACATAGATTCCTTGGGACCTTGGAGTCATGTGAATATGTGTTAAGAAATGAAATTTTAAAGGACAATAAGTTTACCTGGAGCCTAACTGTGGCTGACCTACAGGGTATTTGTTATTTTTGTTTTTCTGACCGAGGTCACCTCCAGTGGTATCTACTTATGCTTGTAACAGATGTTTCTTCTAGAGAAAGTATTTGTTCTCTGAGTTCTGGCTTATTTTGGGAGAAGGATGGTTTTTGTTCAAGAGAAAAGAAATAAGAAGATAACCAACAACAACAATAACGATAATAGAACCAACATATATCACTCATTGAATGTTTACCATATGCAAGGCACCATGATAAGAACTTCACAAACATCCCCTTAAAGATGAGAACATGATTTTAACACAAGGAACTGAGGCTCAGAGAGGTTAAGTTACTTGCTCTACACAGGGAGAACTTGTCGGAGCTGGAATTCATGCCCAGATCTGAGAGTAAACCTCATGCTCTGAGAAAGCCGAATAAGAAATACCATAAAGGGAGCACTTGGCAGAAAAGGACACTGAACAGAAAAGATAAGAAGAAATGTCATAATCCTGGAGCTACACAACATAACCAAGAAAAGGCCCTTCTCTCAGTGCTTCTGGCCATTCTTGAGAAGTACCCCATGGTCCATGGAACACTGAACAGGTTCCACAGATTTAAAAAGTGGAAGAAGACTTCTCTCACCTTCCCAGAAGCAAGACATGATCAAGACAACTGATAACAGAGAGGTCATGAGGTAACCATGACACCCCTCACATGGGTCCCAGGGGGCCTGTGCTTACTCCCTGGGATGTGACCTAAGTCTGACAGCCCTCATTACATAAATCCATTGATTCCTCTCCATATCTACTGATCCAGAGGGCAAATTAGTCTCAAGAATTCCACAGGGGTAGCTAAACTTACCTCAGACAAAACAGATTTCAAGCCAAAGACTATAATAACAGACAAGGTCATTATATAATGATAAAGGGGTCAATCCAACAAGAAGATAAAACATTTGGAAATATTTATACGCCTGACATAGGAAGACCTAAATATATAAAGCAAATACAAACAGACCTGAAGGGAGAAATAGGCAGCAATACAATAATAGTATGGCACTTTAATACCCTACTTTCAACAATAGAGAGATCATACAGACAGAAATCAACAAGGAAACATTGGACTTAACCTATACACTAGATCAAATGAACTTAATGGACATTTACAGAACGTTCCATCCAAAAGTAGCAGAATACACATTCTTCTCAAGTGCACACAGAACATTCTCCAAGATAGATCACGTTAGGCCACAAAACAAGTCTTAAAAAATTTAAGAAGACTGAAATCATATCAAGCATCACAATGGTATAAAACTAAAAGTCAACTACAAGAAGAAAACTAAAAAATTCACACATACGTGGAGATTAAACAACATGCTCCTGAACAATCAATGATCAAAGAAGAAATCAAGAGAAATCAAAAAATATCTTGAGACATATGAAAATGGAAACACAACATACCAAAGCTTATGGGATGCAGCAAAAGCAGTTCTAAAAAGCAAGTTCATAGCAATAAACACCTACATTAAGAAAAAACAAAGATCTCAAATAAACAATCTCCTCAAGGAACTAGAAAAAGAATAAATGAAGTCCAAAGTTAGTAGAAGGAAGGAAATAACAAAGATCAGAGTGGAAATTAATGAAATAGAGACTAAAAAGACAATAAAAATGATGAGTGAAATTAAAAGCTGTTTTTTTAAAGACAAAATAGACAAACCTTTAGCTAGACTTAACAAGAAAAAAAGAAGACTCAAATAAAATTAGAAATGAAGGATTCCAAAACATGTCTCTAAAAGCTCTAACGTTTTGATAGAAAAGACAAAAGAACTGGTAGTAGAGGCCACATTTTCTGAATCTAAAAGATGGCTGTGGGAACTCCACAGCTAGCTACGTAAACAGTGCAAAGGAGAAGGAAAAATGGTTTCCTGGGTTGACGGCTGTTTTCGAAAATAATGGGATCCTGGCAAGTGAGGAAGTCTCAGAAAGCCGTGAACAACTATTATGCAGGTTTGACAAATTTATTAACCTGACCAAGAGATCTTTAAACTAGATATCCGAGAAGAAAAGGGAAAAGAACACATATAATATTGCATTCATACCAAGGGAAAAGTACATGGACCACAGAGGTATCCTGCCTGGCACCAAAGCTGGGGAATGTTAGAAGGGAGACAGGCACTTTGTGGGCCTCTTTTCTTTCCTTACTCACCCACTACACCTGATAAATGGTGTCTTTTCCTTTTCAAGTCTTGGTATTAAGAGGGCTCAATTCACTTGTCCCATACTGATTGAATAGCGAGGCTTAGGATGCATTCAAATTCCTCTAGGTGACACAAAAGCCACCTGTTAACATTTCCGCAGCATGGACAGGAAATATAACATTAAGAAGTGCAAAGGCAGTGCTTCCCTTACAAGTCAAGATGGCAAGGAAGTTACCCAGTACATCACCAGGCTGGGGGCTGGACAGTATTCCAAAATGAAAACTCAAACAGGCATTAACAAAGGGTACTGCAATAAATTAAGAACTACTTTTACAGTGACAGGGTAGTTCACACCCAGAAAGCTATGGACCCATCAGAGCCTGCTAAAAGAGAGCCTCTCTTTAGACCGCATCTAAGTTATTTACTAAAGAAAGGTGAACAGCAACAAAAAATAATAACGTGCTAAAAGCTGATGGACGCAGCTGTGCACAAAACACTTTAAGTAGGTTAAGATAAACTTGCCTCTAGCTACAGATTTACATAAATGTTTACTATGATGTAATTAATAATTGAATGTTTTATTTTAAGAGCAAACTTCATATAAATCCTAACTACTGGATTCATATAACATTCCAATTGTCCAAATTATATTCTGTCACATTCTATCGTAATCCACCTGTCTCCTAGAGCTCAGCAGAGATATCTGAACCTACATTTTATCATTTGACCTTCTTGCTTCTCACTCTGGAGAAGGATATAAATTAATTTTCAGTGGCCTGAAAAGAGCTTGCCAGGCAGTCATCCAAATGGGGCAGGGAACAAGGGCCAGTAACTTGGTCTCACCTGAAGCAACATAATGCCACCCAAAAGGCAAGCCCTCCTAACACAGGAATTATGGAATCAAAGACGTGGAAGAGGGCTCCCTTTTCCCCATCTGGCTAAGATCTATGGAAACAGCCCCAAGGGCAGCTGTTCTTACCACTGGCATCTCAGTAACTATGAGGTCATTTGATACTGGGTAAGGCAACAACCCTGAGGGGCTCTTCTTACTCTGAGGCAGCAGTGAGGACAGGAAGCCCACACAAGGACACTGGGAGAGGGAAGCGTTCCTCTGGCTGCACACCATGGCTCTGGTCAAGCAGACACACCACAAGGTCACAGGGCTGGAGGGGGACCTGGGAGGCTTAGCTGTGGACTGGGCTATGGACGGCGCCAGTGACCAGGGCCTTCGCCAGGTCCACACGCCTGGGCTTTAAGGTGGCATTATCCTTGGTACTATTTCTTGCACCGAAGGGAGCCGGCAGCCTGTCTGGAACAATGGTGAAGTCTGTGCCTCTTCTTTGAAGGCCACAGGAAAGCTCAGAGCTGTGCTGTCCCACAGCCACTGACCACATGTGCCCCTGAGCACCTGAAATGCAGTTGGGCCAAACTGAGATGTGCTGGAGGTGTAAAATATATGCTAGAATTCAAGACTTAGCATAAAAATAAGTGTAAAATATCTCACTAATACTTTTATATTCATTACATGTTGAAATGATATTTGGGGCATACTGGGCTAAATAAAATATATCACTAAAATTAGTTTTACCTGTTTAAGTTTTTCTTAACATAGCTACTAAAAATTGTTAAATTACATTTTGGCTTGCATTTTATCTCCACCGGATGGCGCTAGCTCAGAAACTAGAGCAATTTCACCTGGTGCAGCACTTGGCCATGTGTAGAGTTGGAATCTGACTGCCTGGGTTTGCATCCTGACTCACAATCACCAACCGTGACCTGTCTGTGCCTCCGTTTCTTCAACTGCTACTATGATTATCATCACCTGGGTCTTTTCCTTTAACCGGCTGTTTCTTAACGTCACTCAAATACCTCTCTCCAATCTGCCTACCTATTCAAACCCTGACAAGAGCATGCTTCTACCACTGAACGCATCCAACCTGGGGTGGCCAATCTTTCCACCCATGAGGTGCTCCTTTCAATGCACAGAAGCTTCCTGAGGCTTCACGACAGAGGTTGTGTTTATTTATGCAGGCTGCTCACAGCTGGATGTGCAGACCCCTGGCAGAGCTGTGCAGTTCCCCCTCCCTGGGCAGGCTCAGAGGCTGGGAGAGGGGAACAACTCCTAGGGAACCTTTCTCAGAAAGCTCAGACAAGAACAGTGAGGGCCAGGAGGCTCTTTGGCATTTCCCTAGGAGCAGGAGGGTCAGGGCGAGGTGCTTTCCAGGGGAGAGCACAGGAGACAGGAGAGGAGGGGACACGGCCCCCCACCCAGGAGGGGCAGTGAACACTCACAGTTCCGAGTCCCCCAGGCGGTCCATGTTGCAGACATAAGGAGGCAATTTGTGTTGGACCACGGCCTCTTCCTCGTCTGGCTGTTGCTCCTCTTTCTTCAGTCAGTGGATTTCGGCTTGCAACCCAAAAAGCTACGTAGGAGTGGGGGCGGGTCAGACTGCAATCCCACCTAATCATCCCTCCCCTGGGGAAGATTAGACATGTCACATCCAAAACCAACCCTCACTGGCTCAAAAGGCCCCTGGCCCTTGGCCTCAGGGCCCGTCTCACTCTCTGCTCACCGTGGACTGGAAAAATGGGCAAGGGGCCGCTGTTACCTGACTCTCGTGAGGTGAGAAAACTAAAAACCGTTAGATACACAAAACCCACTTGTCTTTTTCTGTTTATCATCTGACTTGCTCCTTCCTGAATTCACTGAGAAAAACAGCTCTGCCCTATCCTGCCTTGCCCTTTGGAATCTACAAAATCAGACTTTGGAACTCGCACATAAAAAATGTCTTAAATGAATTTCAGAATTTTTGACCTTTCGCCTAAAGAAAACTATACACCCACACACACAACCCAAGAATCTTAAACCCCAAAACCTAAACAGCTTATAATCTTCCTTTTTCTGAAAATCTTCCTCTTTCTGAAGCTATCTTAATTTCAAGGACAGAGAAATTCTCCTCAGGCAAAATCTAAGGCAAACGTGAGTCTCCTGGCGCTAGCATTTTACCAAACTAGAGAAACACAGCTGAACAGAACAATTAAACTATATCTGGGCTGTAAACAATACAGATGTGGAAAAGGACTAGGGGGACAAAATAGACAAGAAAACAGGTTAGTTGTAAGGCATGAGTGCATACAGTCCTTTCCTCTTCGAAGTTCATTACTGTTACTATGTTGTTCATGCTACACACATGACTTAAAATAGGAACCTCACCTCTGGTTTTCAGAGACTGTTATAGCCCCCGAATCCCCAACACTGACTTCTGGTGACACACTTTCATCTGAGATCAGTGTTTTCCTGTATTTAATCAGCCCTCCACTGCCACTACCTAATCTCACACATGAAAAGCAGAAGTACTTCCCAAGGAGCAAGCATGTTCAGAACAAACCTTCTGGCGCAGAACTTCATTTTCTTCTTGAACCTGGTTGGTCCTCTGGCACTCCGCATCAAAGGTCAGGATCACGGGAACTGGTGCAGGAAGTTAAAGAATAAGCCTGCCTGTGAAACGAGTAAAAGCCCTTCCCACACTGCTGACACAGCAGCAACATCCTTGAACATGAGACGCAGGGAACAGAGAAAGACTCGGTGCTGTGGGCTCTTCACAGCGTTATGGAATAATCTCTCCCAATGCTGGGCCTGGCCTGATTTCGTTCAGACAGACTCACAGACATCTGACAATCTGCCCGGCCAGCCCACAGAGAGGACATAAATCCAAACCTGAGTGTTTTTTCACAGATACCAGCAGTAAAGAGCTGGGATCCAGTGGGCTTCACAGGCAGTCTAAGCTTTAGTGACATCCAGCTAAAAGCGAGCCCAGCAGCCAGTGGCTCTGTAGGCATACTGCCAGCTGCTCTACCAGCAGGGCAGGAGGACTGGCCCCATGCCACCCCATGAACATCCACATTCTGGGTCAGGGTGTCAGTCTTTCCCAGTCATCTCAAACAGCTTCAGTCACGAGGGGCACAGCAGGCAGGGCCTCAGCACTGGAGCTGCAGCTGGAATGTGCATGACCTAGTTTGCAGGGCACTGTGTTGTCCTGAAAAGATTTGGTGTGACTTTTCCAATTTCCCTAGAGGGCCCATGTGGTCATGGGCTGAGGCCCCTGCTAGTTTCGTTTGAAAGCCCTCAGGATGAAGAGCAGCAGCAGGGGGAGAAAAAAGACAATGGCGGGGCGGAATTCACGCTCACCCTCAACAGGAAAGGAAAGGGCACCCTTCCTTTCATGACACTCTCCCAGAAGACACTCGTCCCAGAGGCCAAAACAGCCTCCGGTGGTGGGCCTCTACACACCCAATTTATCAGTGACTCACCAGGCAGCCCCATTCAAATCAGACTCCCTTCTCTTCCCCTAGAAGTCTAGCCTAGATCAGGAGCAAGGGAGGATGCCCCGGGCCCCAGGATCGCAGGCTTTCCATGACAAAATGGTAAATATGGTAGGCTGTAAATTATTTACGTTCTCTCTCTCTTAGATAGCCACACGTACATTCTTAAAGCTACTCTGTTTTCTGACAAGTTGAGGAACACTGGGGTCACTGTCAGAGAGAGCGACACAGGGAGGAAGTTCCAGTCCAAGAAGCATTCTCACCTGCTACCTAATCCCAGCAAAGGCAAGTGACACGCTCCAGGGCACAGGGCATGCACAGAGAGGGTGCTCTGGAGGCAGGCAGTGTCACTAAAAGCAGCTGCCTACCAATCCCCGTGTCAGCCCTGGTTGAGGGGTCCTCTCAGAGCCCGGCACTAGCACCCCACCGCTACGACAGTCCCCACCGCCCGTGCACATCAGCTATTTCTTCAGCAGCCGAGTGTCACAACTAAGATTTATGATTCCCTGGCCAACTGACAAAAATAACCACAATCTGTCCAGCCCCCTCACACAAAACATGACAGTGGTCCTTGGGCATTTTGTAGAGAAATGATTGCATCAAGAGCAGTGGCTGCTGATCACATTGTCTGATGCCTCAGACAGGGCCACAGCCCCAGGCAGCCGAAAGGATATGCATGCACTGAAACGGGACACTCAGGCTGATGCCTCAGACAGGGCCACAGCCCCAGGCAGCCGAAAGCATATGCATGCACTGAAATGGGACACTCAGGAAGTTGTGCAGGGACACAATGAAGGTGGCGGCCCAGTGCCGAGAAAAGTAGGTAGTAAAGGCAGGGTTGGTGTCTGGGGAGGGCCGGAAAGGCAGGACAAACCAATCCTTCCACTCAGCCTGGTTCTGGAGCTCCGTGGCCTGCTTTGCAAAGAATTCCTAAGCCGACGCTCCAGGTAGCTCCAACAATCCCGAAGAGCAGCCAAGTCATACAGCTGCATTAACTGCTGCAGCTGGTCCACAATCTTGTCCACCTGGTGAGAGAAAGATGGGCTGGAGAAGGTGGCGCAGGACAGAAGGGAATTCTCTCCTCACTCCACAGTTAATACAGCTTTTTCCTCGTGCTGTGGCTTCTGGGTATTAAGTTTTTTTAAACATAGCAATCTATAAAACTTTCAAAACATAGTAATGTAACAGCTTTTAAGTTATTATCTGATGTTAGATATGTGGTTTGACTAACAAGAGTGGAAACTTCAGCTGTAAAAGTGCTCTGGCCCAGAAAACAGGAGATCTGGGCCCAGGTCTTAGAGCTGCCCCTGACTTACTCAACCAACATGGCAACGTCACCTCAACTCTCTGGTCTCAGTTGCCTAAGATTTCGAAAAATGAAAAAAGAGCGAGTGAGACAATCTCCACGGTCCTCCTCCCAGCTCCGCCATGTCAGGATTCCAAGGCTCACGGTGAGACCCACTGCCTGACTCCAAGTCATCAACGCACCACCAAAGCCCTGGCTGCTGCTCAGAGTGTCAGCCAAAGAAGTCACCTCCTTGCGAGATGCAATCACACCAGAACACAACCTGGAAAAGGTTTTGGATACCAATACCAATCCAACACCCCCATTTTATAGATCAGGACACTGAGGCCTGGAGAGCTGGAATGATTTGCTTTTGCCACTAAGTAGCCACTACCTTTGGCAAGACAAGAACTCAGGTCTCCTAACTCCCCTCCAGTGCTCTTGCTGCGGGCTCACTGCCTCTCTCAATTCACCTGCCAACACTGACTGA